ATAATAATAATTATAATGAAAGGTGTTTGTTAACAAGAACATGTTTTACGTATGTGTTCCTTGTAAAAGAGTGGAAGTATGATCGTTTAAGACATTCCCTTTTATTTCAGCTAAAGATCAACACATTTTAAATGAACTTCAAAGACGAAATAAAGAACTTACTTACCAATCGAGTAAGTAAAGCATCTACATCTATATTATAACGGAAGCACGATGGCTTGGTGGCAAAGCTTTTGGCTTCCAAACCAGAGTTCTTTGTTCAAATCCAAATGAATACTATACCGGATTTTTAATTTCGGGATCTTTGGGCGCCCTCTGAGTCCACCCATCTCTAATGGATACCTGACATTAGTTGGGGAAAAGTAAAGATCGTAGTGCTGGTCACATGACACCGTCGTTAATCATTTAATATCATATATAGCTATTCAATGACAGACTTTTACTAGAATATACTGGTTCAAAACTCAAGTCCAAGCAGAAGGAATGGGCATACAAAGTTATTAATATTATTGGCTCCATTAAAATTAAGGAACCTAGACATAATATTATACATAAAATATTACTCACACACATTAACTTTGGGTACTTTTCATATTGATGAAAAACATATAATACCTATGCGTAATTGTTAAATTATTTCTTTTGAGTAATTATAGTAAATTTATGATGCTCATAATCATCTAGTATATTTTTGTTTCAGCCAATGACCAACATCATTTAGATAAACTTAGAAAAGAAATCCAAAAACTTACTGACGACTCTGGTATGTTTATCTGAACCTTATTTAATATCAGAAGATATAACTATGCACTTTTAGAATTCAAGGACAGCAGTTTCAATAGAATAAACAATGGCCAAACTGATGGGCCTAAGAAGTGCTTGTGCGTAATTTATAAGAGGGTCGTAGATGCGGGCCATTCTTTGTGGAATGAAAAAGAGACACACGCAAAAAAAAAATTGAGAGCTTCAAACTTGTGTAGGGAGTGGGGAAGTGTTTTTATGTGGTACGTTTTATTTACATATTTACATACTAACTATTCCAACCATAGCGTAGCACAGGTATAAGCTAGAGCTATTTATAAAGTAGATCATGGAGCAGTTCAAACTCTTGTCAATGTAATTCTTTCAATCTATGGAGGCAGAAGCTATCAAGCTCATCTCTTTCTAAGGCCGACAGATGATGAGAGTTTCTTTGGAATAACGCAAACACCAACCACCTTTACATCCTGGACGTATGCCTGGTACTCATTATAGTTGGATGGACTCAAGCAGGCTAAAAATCATAAGATATGGGATTTAAACCCGAAACCCTTCGGTACGGAAACAGATTCTTAATATACTTTCCAACAAGACATTACGCTCCTTATTTCTTGAGATTCAACAGTATATTTCTTAGACCTTAGATTGCTGGATAATGGTTGCGTCATGTTTACTCTCTGTATTTTGCTAGTTTGCAAGGACCTACTGTGTCCTAATATTGTTAAATCTCTGTTGTATACTGTATAAAAATTTTAAAATCACGTTTGACAATTAGTGTTTGAAATGGGGAAAAAAAGTATTTTGAGAAACAAAATGGTGCGTATTCACATGACAAAAATATAGTAATTAGAATTATAAATAACCATGTTCAGCTGAAAAATAAAAACATGTATTTTAAGTGTATATGAACTACTAAGTATTAGTCAGCTGCGATGGATAATGGGAGACGACCACATACCGACAACAATTTGTTTTAGCGAACTTAAACGAGAACGGTGTAAGCAGTATGAAGATCTTCTCACCTTTATTGACATAGTGGAAAGCAGCTGGCTTCAGGAACTGGAACTGGAAAACTCAGAATGTCACGGGACAAACAATTGAACCCCAAACTAAAGACAGGCGTAAATAACAACAAAAAAACAACAACAACTTGAATAGGCCCCCGGTAAATAACGGTTATCTTTTCATCAGCGTTAGCGAAACATAGATGTGGAATCGATCGTAATCCCGGAATTGAAAGCAATGTCCTAGAATGAAATAGATTCTAAGCTATAATCATGATTAGACAGACTACATAAAACTAAGTATTTTTTTTTTCATTTTGGCAGTCTGCTCAAAAGTACTCTATTCCTTTTCTTTTGGAGTAAACAATAAATCAGTTTTAGATTTTATAAAATTTAAAATATCAAAAATGTCCATAAATTTACATATTAACAATTTAATTTCTTCGATCTTTTAGTAAAGCTCAGGCAACATTTAGACAGCGCAAAAGAAAGTATTGAAAGGTTAAAAGAAGAAAATGGTAAATATATTTTCTTTTTTATATAAACCTGTATTATACGTGAGCCAGTGGGAGAGGGTATACATAAGTTCGTGCATGTGTGTGTTTACTGATTTCAATTATTGTTTCATTCTAAATGAGAAAAAGTAAAGGCGGTTTGTCATTGTTACGTCCACAAGACACTCTCGTTAACAGTAGGTCACAAAAACAGATGACCTCTACATTATCTGCCCTATAGACCACAAGGTCTAAAAGTGGAACTTTACTGTATTCATTCTTATCAACGTGAATTTTATCAAATTATTGCTTTAAAAACGTCATAATAGAAATTGTGAAAACAGGCTATGAAAATTATTTTATAAACTTTGATTTTTTTAAAATGTCTTTTACAAATGTTGTCTGAACAAATTTCAAATATAACCAACCTCATTTTTAAACAGCAAAACATCAAGCAAGTTTAGAGACAAAAGAATTTGAGAACCAAAAACTGACGGAAAAGTTAGGCAAGTAGCCTTTATCTACCCATCAATAATAATAATAATAATAATAATCTTTATTGTCCATATGGAAATTTGTCTTATAATTTGTGCATTACACCAAACAAAAAACATTTTAACTATAAGAAACCTTAGTGTACATTCACATCAGACGCACTCACAATTTACATGTGACAAAGTTTATACCAGATTGTTCTTATTGAATGATTTGATTGCCAGGGGAACAAAAGAGTGTTTGTGATTGTTTGTCTTTGCTGTCGGTGTCTTGTATCTCTTTTGTGATGGTAAAATCACAAAATCCTGAAACAAAGGGTGATTCTTTATTATTGTATAAATTCCACAAAGAAACTATAGCTATCCAGGAAAATAATAATAACTTTAATATTCCAAAAATACATAATACAGCAACACTCTCTCTCAGAAAACATTGAACTACAAATACACCAGTCAAGGAAACAACTGTCCAACCGTCCTAGACTGGGAACAAGACACCACAGTCTATCACACTCTCTCTCACATTCAAGGAAAACTAAAACATTCAGTGCACATCACGTGCAAGAATTTTCACATTTTTAACCTGGGAATATAAACATAACTATATAACTCTTTAATACCAAAATAGCAACAAAGAAATAACACATTTACTCACTCCATACCGTCTCCTGCTAATATAGAGAGTATAATTTTAGTGGGAGTAATCACGAATATTTTTTCTTATCTTTTCCTTAGGTTTCTTTCCTAAAGATATTCTAAAAAGATGTAAAAAGTGAGTTTGATAATAGCTTCTAAAAAAAATTATGTTGTTGATTTTTTATCGATATGTTTGATTCTGTAAATCGAAAAATGTTCACAGCTCCAAGAGCTGCCAGGTAGTTTGTCTACAGAGTCACTTGACCTGTATAGAAACTTAAAGGCACTACGTGTAACAGCAGAGTTTCTCGCCAAGACTCTACGGGAGGACTAATCCTTCCTTCAGTCTCGCCATCAATTGGAGTTCATCTCAGGTGCCATTACATCGAAGAACGACTTCTCTCGATGAGCCAGTGCTATGGAACCTTAACCTGGGAAAACAGGGGCATTGAGCCATTTCATCTTTAGTCACTTTATCATTAGAGGGTTGGAAAAATGTTTTATTGTTTTTAATGAAACATTCCTTAGTAATAAGAAAAAAATCGCTGTATAAGTTATACAAATAAAATATTCTTTTTGAAACAAATTTTAATTTTGTTTCTTGTTTAAAGTAATTTTTTGTCATCTAAATAAAAATTTTAAATATTGCTGATTTAATATGTTTTACAATTACTATTTTGTTATGTAAAAAGATCAGATAACGAAATGACAGGGGCTGGCCACGTATCACTGGTGTGCTGGTTAACTTCTAAAGCATTTAGATTTTATCCTAAGGGTCTGATGTTCAAATGAAAGCTAGCATAAAGAATTTATGTCAATAGTCCACCCAGTTAAATGTTAAGTCTTTTGATGTATATATTTGCTACTGGAACAGATAAGCTTCTTCTGCCATGCAGTTTAAAGTGTCAATGATTGACAAGAATATTGATATTTAGCAATACATTTTTTTTTAATTTGTAAGGAATTTTATATTTTAACTTGTTCTTCAGTTGCACTCATACTTACATTTGATTTCTTCTCACTAGGTCATTGATAGATGTACGCAAGAAAAATATCAATTTTCTTTTACTTGGACGCTGTGGTGATGATAAAAGTGCGTTGGGGAACTCTATACTTCAAAGAGAGTGTTTTGAAGCTAGTGGCTCAACGAAACCAAGACACAAGGAAGTAAATTGCGAAATGGGAGAGTTCAAAGGCCAAGGGATTCGAGTTTTTGAGTTGCCAGATACTTCTGCTATTTATAAGAAACAGTCGATGGAGTTGTTGTTTAAAGTAACAAGAGATAAGATAGTTGATCAATGTTCACACGGTTTCTCCGTGATTCTTTTTGTATTCAAATCTACTAGCATTTTTACTCAAGAATATTTCCATTTGATTGAGGCTTTTAAGACTACATTTGGTCAGAACTCTTTAAAAGATTTCGGTATATTGGTCATGACATATGGGAATTTATGGAAACTAGTAGTGAACGAATTGGAGTCATTTCAAGATTGGATACAACATCAAGATCATTTTAAAAAAATATTGCCCGAGTTTAACGGAAGAGCACTCTTGTTTGAGAATCATACCCGAGTGAAGGGAGAGCGAACAGAACAACTACAAAATCTGATGGATATGGTTGATAAGTTAATACTTGATAATACTTTTCAGACAAAGAGTTTAACGTTTTAAACTTTATAGTCCTGTCTAGAGTCTCAAATAATTGAAACTCATAGGATATTTTACAATGGAAGCATCTGCTAAGCTAAGGTTTGAAACATTTGTAAACCATAATAACTTAATACAGAGTAGTAACCATAAGTGAGAAATTAAATATATATAATTTGGTTACCAGAGTATCAACGCTAGATCAAAGCGTTATAGATTTTCTTTTTAATTTGTGTAATGATTTGTTTTATTCTAAATAATATATGACTTAAAACAAATATTTTTATCACAATTTGTAGTGCGTACAATACAATCAACAAAGGCTTGTTATGCAATGCACATTTAAAACTAGTAATTACTTGGCTTCTGTGTTGCTCAACGGCGTCTATGAGTATAGTTACAACCATTTGCACACACTGAAGAGTAACGTCAACTTTCCTTCGTGCATTTGCTGATTCATTTTGACTTTCAACCTCAAAAAAATTTAAAGGAGAAAAAACAATCTTAAAAATATGAATGGTCATTTCCTTAATTTATGTCGATCAATGTACATACCAAGACAGAAAGGAATGGAGAAAGACGGTCAACAGATCGTGTGTGGTGCCCCACCAGTCAAACAGATTTCTTAATATTTCAAGTGCAGCTTAAATATTGGGTCCGTGGAACTGCTTTCACTAATAGGAGAAGGGGCTCCTGAACCAGTAAGATTTGGGATGGAGGGACTCACTAGCCTTGGCTTTTAGCCCACCTAGCAGAAGGAAAACTGAATTGAAACAGACCTGGACATCAGAGTATCCGAATATTGTAAATATTGTTTATAAATCTGTGATTCTTTCCACACTTTCGTATGGCTCTGAGACCAATGTGCTCTATAGAAGCCATTTAAGATTCCTCAAACACAATTCTATAAAATGTGTCTTCTCTACAATGGACATTCGCTGACAAGACTTACCAAAACATGTTCTACTGGAAGCGGTATGGACGGTGGAAAATCACTAGTGACCATTGGGTAGCTGCGCAGGGTCAGACACTCAACTTGCATATAGGACAACCGCATGACGATGTTTTTAGTTCACTTCAAGAAGGACAGCGTAACAAAGATCTGCCCGGAAGTGCTATAATGATCAACTCAGTCGCCATTTAGCCCTCACTGGCATAAAGGAAAAAAGCTTGCAGCTGTATACCTTTGAATGAGACAGTTCAAGAGCTTTCACATTAGCATTTAAGACCCAAAGAAAAGCAAGTGCCAAAGACAGGCTCAGAAGACAACAGGAAACTTAAATAGACGCCAGATGGACAAGGCTCGTTGTCTGCATGTGACACAATATAAACAGGTCGCTACTGCGCTAACAAAGTCGCGTGTGACATTGCACTCATTGTAAATTTTCAGAATCAAAGACAATGACATTATTTCATTGCATATCAGAAGCGGGTTGCACTTTCGCGTTTGAATGCTTAATGTACGCTAATGTACATAACATTCTTTTATGTTACATATATTTTATTGAATTCATTCATTTTTATATTAAAAAAGTTACAAACAATTCAATGATTAAAGACAAATTAATTATTTACAAAACAGGTCGTTTTGGTTTATCCATCCCTCTGAATGAGAGTGTGACATAAGGTATGTGTGGTGTTAGAAGATGTAGGTTTTAGAATTACTTTTATTCTTAATTAACTCTTTCTCTCCGTAATTATTTTTCCACGTTTTGGAAGGAATTCTTCATTTTGCTCATTACTATTTAACTACCTTGTTATGATTGGACTTCAATAGCTTTGTTGTTTGTTATCAGAAAATGTTGTATTTGGTAAAGAATGAAATTGAAATGCATGCTCTTTTTATATAGTTCAAAGTCAAGTTTAAAAATTAAACATTAATTTAATTTAATGAGGTCAAAATCAACGATGGTATCGTCGATTAGGAGAGAAAGAGTTAAAAGTATAGGCAGACGTATATTTAAGAGAGTAAAATATCAAACAATCAATACTTTATTGATGCAAAATAGAGTTTATTCAATTTGTTAGTCAAAAGTAAACATTTGTTTTTAATTTTATGTAGAGCCGAAAGTTCATGACCTCAATACGCGTTGCCTTGGTGAATACTGATGGTCACAAAAAGCGATAAAATATATTTTATAATCTAATCGAATGCGTGAGTGTAATTGTTTATATAACATTGTTAGTTTAACTTATGTAGATCTAGATCTAGAACCTAAAAAATGTTAATGCCACAGTAGTCTAGTCATTAAATAAGAACTTTGAGCCTATTAGAGTAAAAGACTATAAATACTTTCATTACGTGTTGACCTAAATACAGTAGGCGTAGTGGTGACCTAAATACAGTAGGCGTAGTGTTGGCCTAGATGCAGTAGGCGTAGTGTTGACCTAGATGCGGTAGACGTAGTGTTTACCTAGATACAGTAGGCGTAGTGTTTACCTAGATACAGTAGGCTACGCGAAATGATGAATGAAACTTTTTTGTAAACATGGCTTATGTAATATGTGTGGCTATGTTGTTAACAGGTCTAAATGCGCATTAGTAAATCTGACAGAAAAATGTAAATTGAAAATAAAGACTTAAAAAATTAAACCAAATCGGTAGTAATAGGCTTAAATGCTTTAAAAATACAATGGAAAGTAAATTGTATTTTATAAGTAGTTTATGAGTTAAATAGCAAGTCTTTATAATGCGTGATATTATGTATGACCTCTGGCGTAATTTCTTATTTATCACAACGGGGCGCGCGAGTTATGGAAAGTATTCTATCATGGATAAAGCTATTCACATTTCGAGCAAACGAATTTATTAAAAAAAAAATTGTTTTTGAAACTCATATGGCAAGGTTAACTATCATTAAATAATGAAATGACTTTTTTGTATGTCCATGTTGAAAAGTAAAAAAAAAAGGTCTGAAGTAACCTCATTAATATAGGCCTATTATAGGTCCGGCTTAAAGACACCCTTTGTTATCTGTTGGCAATAGAAAAAGATGATGTTTACATCATCTGCTCTCTAGATTGCAAGGTCCTAAAAATAGGTTAACAGCATTACTTGACCACTTTATTTAAGCTGTACACTGGCCATTTTATAGCTCAAAATATTCATGAGAAGTTTATATAAAATGGAGTCATCCAGACAACGAATCACAGACAAAATAACTGAAAATTAAGTATGAAGATACATGAACTGACAGTGACAAAGAATCAAGTGTCACTAGTAAATGCACATCCATTAAAACCTGATATCTGAAATTGTTAAGCTGATATTTAAATATTGATCACAGAGGTCAAGATATCATTTTTTTTCTCTTTAAGTTCCATGCTGTATTGTCTAAAGAATTCCAACCACACCCAACAAAAAAGCACAATCGATTCAGCCGATACTTTTCATGGCGATAGAGATAAGATTTTTAAACATACTTTACGCAATGTAGATAGCGAAGTTAGTAGAAAAAAAAGTTTACAAAACCTTTAGAATTGTAATCTTTGCGCACAAAGCAAACATGAAAGTCAATCATCTAAAGAATGTTTTGATGTACACATACCTATGATGCATTTAGCATATTTTAACCGTATTTCATAGGCTTGTGCAAGTGTTATGAATAGACCTACCTATATCTATATAAATAATTCTCTTCTTCCCTCAAGAGTTTTGTCGAGTAGTAAGAAGTATTCCTGTCCACGAGAACACAAGAGTAGTATTCACACTACGGGTGACTGGCTGCGCGCTTGACTGTCGTTTAAATTTATCAAACCCTGCCAGCTCCTATCCCCCTTTGTCCTGCGGGAGGTTTGGACTAGGAACTAATCTAAGTAATCTACTTTGTGTAAATAGCAGGACCGGACTTAACCATTGTGGGGCCGTATCCGAAACGGATATAGCGGGCCAAGTTTGGGTAAGGAAGCGGATAATTGGTAAAATTTAAGAGTTTGTATTAGAAAATAAATTCGCATATTATTCATTCTTTACTTAAGCTTAAATTGATAACAGTTTGAACACTATTTCTATTGGTTAAAATAAAGTCTTAGGTTCAATAGTGATAAATAGAAGTCAATTCAAAGTCTTCTGGCACTGGATAATCTAGATGGTAAGTAAGTAAAGTTTCAAACTTGAAATGTATTTGAATTGATACTTCAAACTAATACCGAATACCTTACCAAAAGAAATCAGAGATATTATTGTTAGTACGTCACTTTTTTAAGAAAAATAAAGGTGTTTAACTATAGAGAGATATTGATTATTAGATTTATTAACAAACGAAATATGCAAAAGAATTTGAAACCCACCTGGATTTTGCTTTATCCTTTACCACCCTCTCCTCCACCACAAAATTGTATTTTAATGCTTTCCTTTTGTTTTGCTTCTTTGTAATTAAGTAATTTTGAAAACAATGGCACTACTGGTAACATGTCCTGCTATTGTTTTTCATGCATTAGCACCGGTAGAGAAACAATGCATTAGATAAATATTTAATTGCAGGATTTTATTTTCTAAATCCAACAATTAAACTTGATTTCAGCTAGGCTTCATCTTTGTATATATAATGTACTAGTTAGATGTAAAAAGAATAATTGTACCTTTGAATTCACGCTTCTAAATTTAGTTGTGACGAAGACGGTTCCCAACGTAGAACTTAAGTCACATGAAAAGATTCTTGGAAAACTCAAATATTTCCATGGAAGCCAAGAAACAAAGATCACATAAAGTTCATCCAACGCCAACATCCACCCAATCAGGCCACACCCCTATTACTCCATCTCAGCCCAATCACCAAGAGCAGAAAGTGGTTTCAACTGTAGATCATTCATGCAAGTCTAGTCCAACAAAGAATATCCTAACAATACAGAATCCGTAAGTATCATTCATATAAAAGGTTAACGCCCTTTTTTAGTTGCTAAATAATTCAGCCTGAAATGATACATTCTGTTGATGGTCCAAGCTACCCCCAAATTAAAACAATTCAACAGAATGTTTATCATGTTTTTACACTGCGCGTATAATTGTGATCAACTGTTTTATATTTTGTATTGCTTGATCCCCGGGGGCTCCCTTTTGAGGGGGGGGGGGCAAATGAAATATTGTAAGTAGTAACGTACCCCTTTCCAACCTTGTGATCTATGTTTCTGTGACCCACGGTTAACGAGGGTGTCATGTGGCCATCACATCTAATGTCAGTCACCCATTTGAGCTGCGTGGACTCAAAGACGCCCTAAATATTCCGAAAGTTAAAATCGAAAGTCTTCAGGATTCGAATCGGAATCCAAGCGCTTTATCACTCGGCCACAGAGCCTCCGCTATGAAGTATATTCTTTTAAATAATAATTTTTAGAGTAATGTTCCAAAAAATAATATTAGTTTCTTGTTTTTAATACTTTTTTTTGTTAAAAACAATAATTTTATATGTAACTCATTGTTTCAATAGACTTGAACGTCACTATATCTTTCTCCATACTTTTAGGACACAACAAAATGCCATGACCTACAGACTTATAAACCAAGTTCTAGTTCTAAATCTGTCAGGTATTTAAAATTCATACATTGCTTTGTGTTGTGTTGATTATAAATGTTTCTAAAACATAACCAAATATAAATTTAAAGATAGTTTTAAATAATAAGCTTATATAAGAAATAAACCCCACAATAACTGCCATATCTTACAATGCTGCAAAGATTAATATCCCTTATTTACAGACAGAGAAAAATAAATCGATAGAAATATAGATATATACAGATATTTTTAATCAATAATTATGTTACACAAATACATCTAAAACTTTTTAGATTACTTTTTGATTTCTGTTGTCGTGTTAGTGTTTGTAATGTTATCACAGCGCCTTGAGCCTACATTTTGTTTGTTAACAGCGCTTTATAAATAAAATTATTATAATTATTATTATTATTTTGAATATTTAAAGTATACATTTGTACATATTTCGTTTTTTTTTCTATCTAGATCAATAGTTAATGATGAGATTGATCTCCTGCTTATTGGAAAAACCGGAAATGGTAAAAGTGCTCTTGGTAATTTAATTCTAGATTACGAAGCGTGTGTTAGTGAGCCTTCTGCTACTTCTGTTACGAAAGAGGTTTGCGATGATGTGAATGAAATTAATGGACGAATTATCAAAGTAATGGACAGTCCAGGGGTTGAGGACACGGACTGGGA